AAGAATTAAAAAAGATTTGCATAAAATTTCGAATAAAATTTTTGCATTTTTCAAAAGTAAAAAAAAAAAAATATTGAAAAGAATTTGGATTGGTTAACAAAATGTAAATGAATCAATGATAAAATTCATCTAACACAAATTTTTCACTTAATTAATGGACGAGCAAATTTCATTTCTTTCCTTTTTCTTTTCTTTTCTTCTTTCATTAAATTCATCTAATCTTATTAAAAGGATAAAAGCTTTTTTCCTTCCAATGAACAAATTCAATTGCTAATTGCACTATATCATTTTGCATGACGAATAATTCATTTTGCTCATTCAATATTTTTATATGAAATTATCATTTGTTAAAAAAAGTTTAAATTAAAATTTTTTTTTTCGCATATTAATTTAAAAAAAAACTTTTTCTCTCCCTCCCTCTCTCTCTCTCTCCCTTTTTTTCTCTTCTACTTCCTTTCCTTTCCTTTTTTTTTTTGTAATTCAAAATTAACAATTTTCTGGATATAATTTCTATTGTAATTTGCCAAAGAAAAAAGAGAAATATAACAATTGTTTACACAAAAATAATTTAAATTCGTTTTTTTTTTTTTTTTTATTGATTGAATTATATTTTACATTTGATTAATTAGAAAATGTAAAATAGCTGTAAATAAGGATAGTCATATTCGGAAAAATGATATATTTCCAATTTTAGAAATCAATTTCTACCAATTTGTAAAATTTTAATGTTATTAGCTTGTTTGATATGTTAGTGTAGCTAAAATCACTTTTGACAAATATTTGACAGGTGGACAACGACATGAAAATGTTTATCAATTCATATTCAAACACTAATAGCTTTTTTAAAATGAACTGCTAAATTGTTAGTTTCCTTTTATAGCTGTTGAAGAAACAAAAAGAAAAGGTATTTATCTTCTATAATTGTATTAGAAGGGACATAATTTTCTATTCAAAATGAGTATTTTGGAAATGTATAATTTGCGTATAAACGTATAAATATTAAACGTATAAAATTTGATATCTACGAAATTTCGGAAATTTCTCAATCATCGAAATATCGGTCACTTAACTGAGGTTGAAATTTTGTAAATTGATGTATTGCTGAAAGAGTGTCGGAGAATAAGCCAAAGCGCTCTTGTGAAATGCATTTATTGAATTTGCATAAGCGTATAAAACTGGAAAACGAAATTGAACGGTTGTAAATTTTCTATTTAACTAGAGAGCCTGGACCGGTTCTTGGTGGAGGACAATGATCACATGAACCGGGCTGTCCTGGTGGTCCTCTGGGTCCTGGTGCTCCACGTAATCCTGGTAATCCGTCCACACCTTTTTCTCCTGGATCACCTTGTGGTCCTGGAGGACCTGGTTTACCTGGTTTACCATCTCGTCCAGGAGAACCAGGAGGTCCTGAAATATTTGCTTTTATTTATTTGCAACTATTAGGATTTGAAAATCAAAAATGAAGGAAATGAATTTACTGTGATGTTTACCTTGAGGACCAGGAGGTCCAGGTGGTCCTGGTGGACCAGGTGGCGCACCATTTACAATCTTTCCTGGCTCTCCTGGAGGTCCCTTTTCACCTGGCAATCCTGGTGGTCCTTGTGGTCCTTGTGGTCCCGGTGGTCCTGGCAAACCAGGAGCACCATCAATTCCTATAATAAAGATGAGATCAGTTGAACATTGCTGATATGAATACCTAGTGAAGTAAATTTTCGAAACCATTTTTTCATCACTTCCAATTAAATTCCAGAAATTGCAATAAAGTTACCTGGAGTGCCAGCTTCTCCTTGTGGTCCTGGTAAACCTTTTGGTCCAGGAGGTCCAGGCGGTCCAGGTGGTCCAGGTGGACATTTCTGGCATGGTGGTTTTGCAGGTGGTCCAGGAAGCAAACTACCATCACGACCTGGTGGGCCTGGATCACCTGGTCGTCCTGGTGCTCTGAAAAATTCTCCATTAAATTAACTCAATCTTTTTGAGGTATTTTCAGTTACACAAAAACCTACTTATCTTAATAACATAAATTATCATAAATAAATCACAAGCTTAGCCAATAGATCACTCAATAATCTATTGCAAATATATCAAATGCCTCATTGAAAGAATAATTTAGTTAGAAAAAAATTATTGAAACTTTTTGAATAATTTTCAAATTAAACTAACCCAGGTCGTCCATCACGTCCAGGTGAACCAGGTGCTCCAGGTGATCCAACTTGACAAGTACAGCAACTTCCTCGATTCGATGGTATTGCCATGTCCAGCTTTGATTCATCATTACTCGTAAAATGACGTTTTTTACGTGATGCTGTAGTGTCAGCTACAGATGACGTAACCGTTTGTAATTGTACCATTTCTTTCCACATATCACGTGAACGTGTCTGAAAAAGTAATTCTGATTAATTCAAAAAAAAAAAAATTTTTCTTTTTTCTTCAAATTTTCAAGCAATAAAATATGTCAAATTGTTAACCATATAACATCAAACAAATTGGACAATTGAAAAATTTAAAAAAAAAAAAAGCAATTTTAAAAATATATTATTAATTTAATTTAGAAAATTTGAAGCAATACTGATAATTATTATTCATCGATTAACTTTAATTTGTTTAATCATTTCAAAACTTTTAAAAATTTTACAAAACATACAAATAATTATAAATATTTGAAAATATTAAAAAATATATAATAAAAAAAAAAAAAAATTGAATCAAATATTTGTCTAAATTAAATCATTGTTACCTTACAATAATCAACTTCATTTTGCATAAATGATTGAACATTTTGTACATGACTGTAAATAATAGGTAATGTAATCACACAGCACATTACTGAAATAGTTGAAAAAGCAACTGCTGCAAATGCAACAGGTTTCAGAGACCGTCGTTTCCGGTCCGGAATATTCATTTGTTACCGGATATTCTAAAAAGTATTATAAATAAAGATAATAGTTAAATATGAAATGCGAAAGAGAATGAATGCAACTGATGAAATTACCAATGAGAGTAGCAATTATTTCATTTTATTTATGAAAAAAATTTCTCTCATTTCTAAACTTTGTATTAATTGATAATTTAATTTAATGAATTAAATTAGGATGTAATGAAATAGTAAATAAGCTTATGAATTATATGAATAATTTATCAATTTTGATAAATATTTGATAAAAATTTAGAAATAATTCATTAAGATATTTAAGTAAAATTATCATCCATTAGCTAAATTAATTTCAAAAGTTACTGAAATTACAACATTCATACTTATTCGTATAATTACTGTAATAATTCGTTTGCTTATTTATTTGAATACTTACTGAAAATATAAAAGATGAAGATTAGGAAGAAAAAACTGGCAAAGATTAATTAGTTTTTATTTAATCATTAATTGTAAATAATTAAGAGACAGAAAATTTAAATCAAATTCTCTTAAAAAAAAAAGAAATTCTCGAGAATTAAAATCGATAAAGTCGATTTTATCCATGTGCAAAAATACCACTAACCAATTGTATGAATTGTTTAAAGTTTTTCCTTGAACAGTTTGAAATATTCAAACCTTTTAAAAGTTAAATATTGGAATGCTCCCTTGTTTTATAAAAAAAATTCCATTTTCCATTTTTTTTTTTAAATCTTTTATATACATATTTGTTAACAATTATTTGTCTAATTTCTGTTGATGCTATAATTCTATAATCCAATATGAATACAAACAATTAAGCACACAACTATATATGTTTGTTTTATTAGAAATGAAAAAGAAAATTGCTTACTTTAGAATTTTCTAAATAAAACTTAATTAACAGATTTAAATATAACATTTAGGTATTATTAATTAAGTTGTCTTCTATTTCAAATAGTTCACTCTTACAGCAAACAAATGGAAAAAAAAAATGTAATCAAAATTTCAAACAACGAACTAAACCTCAAGCATTAATTGGAATAGAAATGATTAATTATTAATTAAGAAAGCTATCAAATACTGCTACAAATTAATCATAGAAATTTATAAAAATTTTTCCTCTACAAATGAATAGAGTTAAATAATTAAAATTTTATAAATAGAAAGAATGAATTATTTTAAAATGCTACTACTACCACTATATCTATTCATAAAGATATGCTTTTAATTAGAACTGATCGCAAACAATTTCTTTTTATAGTATGGTAATAGGTCAACTGATGCCTTCTAATTTCTGTAACGAGCAATGACCTATATTTCACCTGTCCTGTAAAGGTAATTCAATAGAAAGATGGTGGTGTGTCAAGAACTGAATAGTATGATATCTTTTGAAAATTAGGTCGTTCTTTAATAAATCAATCCCGAGTATTATGTAATCCATTCTTGAGAAAACAAAAATGTTTTCTTTTTTCAAATTCGATAATATTCGTAGATTAGATAATTAGTAGCAAATCCAATGATATAGAAATTTAGCTAAGCTGCAATATCGAAAAGTATTATTTAATAATATTAAGAAATCTGATAGCGTCTAACGTCTACGAATTCATATTAAGCTAGTATTAATTTTTGCTCTCTAGTGAAGTTTGCTAAATACACAAATGAATTTGAAACTTAAAATTTTGCTCATAAAATCGTTTTACTTTATTCATTTGTATGATTTTTTTGCTATTTCAAACGATTTTGGCTTGTTTATTCTACAAAAATTTTGTTGCTTCTTTACAAACATTTTTTAGAGATATTTTCAGGGTTTGAGAAGTAAGTTTTACATCACAAACATAATGTCAAAAACAACAATTACAATCATAAAACAAGTTAAATCAAAATAACCATCATTTTTAAAATTTCACTTATTTACAAAAAAAAAAAAAATCTAAGTCTCTCTGTTATTAATAGCAGAAAGAGATAGATCTTTCTCAATACACATCTAAATTGCTCTTATTTGATGTAATTTGAAAAAAAAAAATTTAAATCGTTCAATTTTCAACAGAATTCATTTGGAAAATTGAGGTATTTGATAATGATTTTACATTTTCCCATCAATTTGAGGAATTGTTCAAATGCGTCCCACTGCACGGTACTGCTCAACACGTAATGCCAGTAAGTTGCATAGCCGCTAAAATAAAAATTCAATTTAATCTGCAAATGTAAAAATGTGAACAGATAATTATTGATTGATTGATTTCATTGATATATTTTTAGAAATTGACTGGACACTACTAAATTTTTAATATTGCATCCACTTATGGTTAAAAAAATGCATTGTAAGTCATTCATTCATTCATTTCATGCAATCATCATTTCACTAAAACAAAAAACTATTTGTTTAGTGTCTCAAAAAATTTTGATCAAAAAATTTGAAGAAACGAAATATACAAAATTTTTTAAACTGCATGTAAATACTATACCTTTGACATATTATCATACCGTACAATAGTTTCGTTACCCAATTCTTCATTTATATTATAAGAAAATTCATCATTTTCATCACACCGATTACCAGTAGAGTAAACAAGGACAATCTGATGACGTGGCCTTACATCGCGTAAAACATTAACGAAATCATCATTTAGTTTCTACAAAAGAATGATAAATAATAGATGATACTTTAAAAACTTTTGAATTCGTCCATCTCTCCTAGTCTCCTGATTCTATAAAAAGAGATAAAAGAAAAATATCTCAAATTCCATTACTCTCTGTCGTAAAATAGTTGACACTATTAGTGAATTTGCAATCAAACGGAAAGAAGAAAAAAAATCCTTTTGAAATGCTCACTTTCTGGAAACAAAGAACGGCAGCAATAAAAAGAGGAATTTGTATTTTATTTTTAACATCCATTGAAATCGCACGAAACTGCTCAATATCATTTCGTTCAAGAGCCGAAAAAAGCTGTTCATAAATCGAACATTTCAACAATTTCTCTGCAATTTTTGTGACAAACAGTTATTTTCAACTACAATTATTTGTTCATATTAATTTATTAATTTAAGTGAAATCATACATCTTCCTCTCTCGTTCACTCTTATTTTCGTCATCTACATATGGAAAATAAAAATTTGTATTTAGGGAGCAAGAAATAATTAAAAATCATTAATTAAAAGAAAATATTTCAGTGCCAGCTACTTGAAACAAAATTGCAACAGTAAAGTTCGAATACCAATAAATAAAATCAAAATAAGCTTATTTTGATCATTTTACGATTTTTGACTATAAATAAGACTAATTTCTATTATTCAAAATCATTTTAATTGCAATTCTATCAAGTATTTGTTAAAAGTACTTACTTATCAAGTATCATATTCATTTATTTTAATCCTACACATTAGCATTTATTTAAAATTTCAAATGCTTGATAAATCCTTGATTATTTTTAAATTCACATATCTAATGAAATTATAACTATACAATAAACTATTTTTAATAATAAATGAAATAAGATTTGTTAGCTGGCAATTACTAAGGAAAATTAATTGAAAAACTTGTAATAATACTACTAATAAAAATTACAACAAACCATATATCTCAAGTGTAGTAGATGAATACAGAACTGACAAATTTTGGATCGCATCTTTTTTTTCCAGCAAATGTTGATTTCCACTTTAATAGAATAAAAATAACGAACGAATTCCCAAAAATTTTTTTCTTAACTTTCAGAAGGTAAAAATGTTTTCAGACAAGCAAGAAATTGCTACTGCTTCTTTAAATATTATTTCTGAAGACCAGAAAAAAACCTATCTCCTACGACATAAATATGTTTCAATATTAAGAAATTATATGAAAGCTCCTGAAATTTTATAAAAATGATAAAAGATAAAAAGATAAGACTAAGCAAATTGAAATGATTGTTGTTGACAAGACTAAAAATCTTGCCTTCGTAATATTATTCGTTGTTTATGCAATTTACAAATATCTTCGTTTGGCCAGTCATGGCAACAATTGATGTAATGCATCGCATAATCCATATACCAAAAATGTTCAGCCAGTAAGCTTACGAAGAAAATAAATTCATCAGTGCGCTTACTTATTGCTGAAGATAAATTTATGAAATATGTGAAATATATGTTTATTAAGTATTTTGAAAAAAAAAAAATTGAAAAAAATCTGAAAAAAAGGAAAAAAAAAAAACCAAAAAAAAAAAGATATAACACGGTTCACAGTTAAAGTACTCCGAAAACTTTGTACTTTAGGCTATTTAAAAACAAACCAATAATTTCGTGGACAGATTCAAAATCGAACATTGTTGCATCATCAGACTGTTTACCTTCGGCTAAAATTTTCATCAGATAATATGTATACTTTTTCACCGCCAGTTCCTGAAATATGCAATTATCTGGATTTATAAAACCGATAATGTAAAACAAATTTTTACAACAATTGGAGATAAAAATAAATCCTCGAGAATCATATGGACCAACTTCATAAGTATATTTCACATCAGATTTCAATACTTAAAATAACAAGGTAACTTACAGTTGGCCTCAGAGTTAATGAATGTCTATATAAATCCATCGTATCATAATGATTTTCTGCTTCTGCCATTGTGGCCTGCAATAAATTATACAGCAAAGCTATATCAAATTGTTTATAATTTGCTTATAATTTCATATAAGCATCTCGATTATCACCAAAATGATAACTTCTAAAAAATATAAGATGTTTAGGAACAAATTATCGATTGCTCTCCACTGAACAATGGATACAAAGCTTAGAAAAATACCATAAAGTATTTTTGGCCAAAGCACAATAAGCATTATAAAATTCTTACCAAAACACACCAAACTTCGGCTGATTCGGGATTAATTTTCTGAGCCATATTGAGAGCTTGTCGTGCTAAATTATGCTGCAACACTATTTAAAATACAACTTAATGCATAAAATCTTTCACGAAAGAAAAAAAAAGAAAAAGAAAAAAGAAGGAATGATATGTATAATTGAATGTTTGTTACTTTTTTCTTGTAAATTTTTAATTTTTCTCCTATCTTTGAAGAAATTCTAGTCCGCCTCTGCTCAATAGTTGATTTTCATTCTTATCACATCAAAAATGAAAAAATTCTGAATGATACCTGACTGAACTTCAAATATAATAAGCCAAGTAAAAACCAAGCATTATCGTTCCTTGCATTTAACTGCAAGGCTCGTATAAGGCAATGCTGTACCGTCAAGGCATTTCCTGATAATCCAACCGCTTCCGATAGGTTTGTCCAATAAATCGATTTTACTGTTTTTGATGAGCAAAGTCTGATAGCACGTTTAAAACACTCGACAAAGCTGAATATACTAGATTAAGATTCAAATGGAAAATTTCACCTCACAATTATCATTTAACAACTGCTTACAATTCCTATAGCTGAAACTGTCAATTCTAGCTTCTTAGTTACAGCGATCATTTGAACGAAATCATTATTCAAATTTAAAAAATAGCAAAAATGAGAACAATGCATTCATTTAAAATATGAGTGATTTTAGTTGCTTGATGTTGAAAATTAAGCAAATTTCCCTAAAAAAAGAAACACAAAACAGTTTCTTCCGGTAAAATAAGATCAACTATGTTTATGATAGATAGAAAAAACAAAAACAAATTTTAGCTTAGTTTATGAAATTGCAATGCAATCATTTTCATCATTTTCTTTCTCTATGTTTTTATACTAATTGCAACTGTTTATTCTAAACGTAATATTAGAAATTATTTCAGATGATAAACAAATATGAATGTTATTAAAACAAACAAACAAACTTACTTTGCGTATCCCGAGTTATCTTTCGTTAGTTGACATTTTCGTAATAAAGCAATACCCAAATCATTCCAAGCACTAGCACAGTTCGGATGTGCTTTTATCACTACGCAATAGTAATGAATAGCTAATTCAATTGCATCCAGCACTGATTCCATTTTCCAAGTTTTAGGAAATTCGAAATGTTGAAATGTATCAATATGATATCTGGATGCTAGCAAAAGCGCATCAGCAGCAAATTTGAAGGGTAATACAAACCCTGGATTTTGATCAAAAGCTTTTTCAATAGAGCCAAAAAATCTATTTAAGAGATCAAATTGCAAAGAATACACCGATTTTTGAGCTAGTTTCAGGATAGATTCAACATATAATAAGTAGACACAATTTGTATCACTTTGGCTACTTTCAACACATTTTATCAATTTCAAAGAGTGTTCGATTGCTTCCTCCAATTGGCCAGTAACTTGGCACATTTGAATAAACTAGAAAAAAATCAAGGCTATCATGCAACGAAAGGTGTAATTAACAAAAGGCCAGCAGTAAAGTCAAACTCATATAAGGACTTTGAAATATCAGCAAAATTTCTGGAAATACTTAAATTCCAGGTGAACATTGAAAAATAGAAACGAAAAAAGGAAAAATAAGGAGGCAATAAATCTATAAAAGAATTTATTATCAAAGAACTTTCATCAACCTGAATTTCAGCAGTTTTATTGTCTGATTCAAGATTTATTGCTTCCTTGAAAGCTTTGATAGCACTTTGATAATTTCCACGCTTTTTATAAGCATCTCCTAGCGCAGTCCAAATCACAACATCTGTTTTATCAAGTGTAACAATGCGCTGCATTTGATCAATTGCTGCATCAAGCTAGAAAATTTGGTGGGATTAGAAAATAGTACAACGCAAATTTATTCAAATACAATAAATAGATCCATTAATGTCTTTCAAACTCAAATAACAGATCAGCCAGCGTAATAATACCACTTCTTTTTATTAATACCAAATTATTATGAAGATTCAATACGAAAATCATGAAAAATGTCTTTAAATCTTTTATTTGAAAATCACCATTCATGCGACTTTATCAGCACTCATGATGAAAGAAACCTGACTTATTACGGAATTTCAAAATTCAAGAATTCGATAGTAGAAAGTAATTTAAACAAAGAAAAAAACTCACATTTCCATTTTGAAGCTCCAATAATGCCAATCTTTTCCGTGCCCAAAGGTCTTTAGGTACCATTTTCGAATATCGTACTAAATGTTTGATCAAATCTTCATTGCGACCTTCCAAACTGAGTAGCTCATCTATTAGCTTCGCAACCTTTCAAAAGTAACAAAGTAAGATAATAGTTACTCATTAAATGCTAGTTAATTAAGCATGGAAAAATTGACATAAAAGAACAAAATCAGATTCAGACGATTTTTCAAACAGTATTGATGTTATTGAAAAATACTTGGTTTTATTCAGTTTGAATAAATAAATTACACAAAAGATCTTCAGTTCTAATATGACTAGTTCTACCTTCGTGTCATGAGGACGAATTTTCGCTGCTCTTTCCAAACAAGCTATAGCTTTGGTTCGATTTTTAGTCTTCAAGCTCGACCCCAATAAAAAGAAAGCTTTGCTACTGTATGGATTCAATTTCGCTGCCTGAAAACGAAAATAATATAATGTAATATGAAGTGACTGGTAATTTAAATAAACTTAATTTAGATAACAAAGCAGTCTAAGCATAATTCCAATGATTGTAACAGTTTAAGCAGGGAAACATGCAGGACAATGAAGTTTTGGATAGCTCTCTTTAAATGGCAGAAAAATAATTTCATGCTTATTTAAAAGAAGAAAGTTTACAGGCCTACTTATGAATTATAAAGCATTTCAAACGAAAATGCCATCGTTTCATAGACTTATATTTTAATAATTGTTATTCTAATGTGAAAAAAACCAACTTTCACAAGAGCCGATGTAGCAACTGGATCTTCGGTATTTAATAGTAAACAAATTTCGCCAAGCACTAAATGCCACTGCCATGATTTCGGGTTGGATTTTGCAGCATTTTCAGCTAAAAGTCTTGCCTCTAAAACAATCAACATTGAATTCATCCTAGAAGCTGTTTCGATAAAAGCAAAAAAGGAAAGGAAAAATGATGTGAGGAAAAAAATTACTGAAATTCCTTAAATATATCAGAAATCCCAGAAAATGCTATCCGAACACTTCATTATAAATATGGAAGCGATTCAACAGGGTCGACGAGATGAAAAACTACATGAAAACATAATCATTACAGATGAGTTAGAATTTGAAAAATGAAATCTTAGACACTTGTCAAAAAATAACCAAGATGCGCAACTTGTGGTGCACTGATTAGACTACTTATTAAGCAGTATCCTTATTTACTTAATTTTAAAAAAAAAAGACTTGATCATCACCTTGTAAGGACTCTTTTGATTGAGAATTCTTCAAAATTACAACCTTCCAGTACAATTCCTCAGAAGGGTCATCATATTTCTCTCTTTGTATTATTTCTATTTTCGACATATCGTCCATACCAGGATTTTCACATACCATCGAAAAAAAAAAAAAAGAATCATAAACAATGGGCATCTTTCTTTCATGTTGAATAAAAGTTGAAAATCTTATTATAAATTATGCAAACAGTAAAAACTTTCAAAAATTCAACTCAAATTATTACCTCAAGTCGTATGTTTCTGGGTGTTTGCTTAGTGCTTGAATTATCATTCAATAATAAATGTAATTGCAGGAGCGTATTGTCATTATGAATACCATACAGTGCTTCACATCTGGCACGGAAAATTTCTTCACTTAAAGCTTTGGTAATTGCAGGATGTATATTTGGGATTTCTACATCGAGAAGAATTAAAACTTGTTCATAGCGTTCTTGAAAAAGTAAAAGAGGAACAGCCAAACCGATATGCGGCCTAAAAATGTACTTTCGATTTGATTTGAAAATCAGAAGAAAAAGAAATCAGTTGCAAAAAGATTTACAGTCACCTATTATTGAAATTATCATTGAAATAACATGAACAGATACAAAAAAAGTTAGTTGGAATAATATCATAAATTACTCCACTTCTTTTATCTTTTCTCCAACTCAAGAAAAAACCCTACCCAAAATACAATCAACCTACCATTTGCATGTATCGTTTTTCAAATTTTCATCAATATTTTTGATCGATAATGACATTTCTGTCTTCTCAATATGTCCAAGAAGAAGTTCGAATTCTGTTTCTTTTTCTACAGCATTTCTCAACATACTGATAACGTCGCTCGAAGGATCTACTTGACGTCGCTCCAAATAGGAGATAATAACAAAATATCGCAATAAATTAGTCAGCCATTCATCATCGAGTGAAATGTATCTAACATGCCAGTTTAATACATCTCGTATTTCTTCCAGTGTCTAAACGTAATTTTTATTGATTTTAGATTGGGAGGAAAAGATATAAAATAGTACAATATACAGTAGAAGTGTAAATTTGAAAACTCTAAAATTGAATATCCAAAATGCTAGAAGAAACCGTCGACCTCTGCCCATGAACAACGTAATATTGCACATTTCCGATGAATTTTACTGTCCAATTTGCCACTATCGATTTTGATTAAAAATTGTTTTATCTGGAAACAGAAATAAGACAAGAATGCAAAAAAGAAAGGATTTCTTACATAATTCAAAAAATCTGAAGTTGCTTGGAATTCGAATATTTACCAATTTTTTTCGATCGCCATCCCAATCATCAGTGAATAGTAACATTTTTAGTGCTTCGTAACAAAAATCAGCATCGTCTAATCGATCGGAAATTGAAAAAGCTTCATCAAACTTCTTCAATTTCAGTAATATAAAACCCAATTCTCTCTTATATGCAGAAATTTTTTCTGGAGCTATTCTAAACAAGAATAGGCTAACTAATTTGAAAACCATAAAAAAATTATGAGAATTCCAAAACTTTTTGTGAAATAAGATAAATCTATTAAGTAATTTTCGATAAGTAAAGTTCTGAACACAATTAAGGTTTCGAAATTTTGAAAGAAAAAAAATGAAAGAAAAAGTTTAATCAGTATTTGAATAAGATGTAAACATACCCAGGAATACATATCAGATTTTGAATTACTATTAGGATGTGCTCCAAATCAACATATTTTCCTTGTTCGTAAAGTTTATACAGTCCTTGCCATGCTAAAGGTTTCTCTGCATCAAGTTTGATTGCTTTTTTGTAATAACTAACAGCTTCGCAATCATTTCCAATTTCTACACTTGTAACTGCTGCGAAGACGAAAAGTAAATAATCAGATACATCTTGTTTTAATAGATCCTGAAACCACAAGATGGACTTTATTAAGCAACTTAAACATGGAATTACAAAATTTCAAAGATGAATCCACACATGGAAAGATTAAAATAGAAATGAAAGAAAATTGTCCCCGACTTGAAAAAATCCATAATGAGTTAAAAGCCGCTCAAATTTAATGAAAATCAATAAAGAAAATCAAGAAATGTCAGTGACAAGTATGCGATCAAATTTATTCTAATCGACGAAAATGGTACCTCTATAATTCCCATTGCTTTGTTGAACTCTTTAGCATCGATATGTTGACGAATGGTTTTAAGTACAGCCTTTGTTCCCATAATTTCTCAAAAATTAAAAATAGCAACCAAAACCATGCAGTTCATGCAAACAACGGCAGTTAAACAAAGACTATTCATCCCAGTAATTAAATCTCCAGTTTGTTCATTGATTAAATTTCAGTTTAGACTTATAACTTCCAGTAACAAGAAGCATTGCTTTTTTTTTGTTTACACTTCTCACTACCACTCAGAATTAAAATTTTTTTATTTCGCAAAATGTTAAAATCTCATGTGTGTACAACAACAAATGCAAACAGCATACTTCGAATTTTATGGATATACCCATAATTTTAATCATATCTTGATTTAAACTGATATAAGGTCAAAACAGACACGCATGCGGATACAAAATCATTTATCTATTTCGGATACAAAATCATTTATCTATTTTATATACAATATATAAACGATAAGCCTGGAAAATCTAAAAATCTCGATCAGAATGGCATTAATTCACAAATGTTGGACTGAAATGAAAGTTGCCACACGTATTCACATGACGATTATACATACGATCCCACCATAGCAATTCACCATCCAGGCACATGTCACGGCCACGATCCTGAACTTTTGAAAGTTTTGTTTATTCATACAATCAAAAACAATGCAACTTACTCCTAGAGTTTATTTGGCTTCATTTCTCATCTCACATCCTACTATGACTACCGACATATTGTAAAGCTGTGTTTATATCCAAAGCAAAAAAATAGTTTTTCGTTATTAAATACAGCGAATCCGGTCAGCTATGTAAAAATAGTAAATAGTTCCAAATTTCAACGATTATTGACAAAAAATTCAAGATTTAAAACTAGGTTTGCTTCCGCACAGAAACTACCTAAATCTTAATCTCAAAAATTTCAAGCTATTTCATTCATCATCTCTCCCAAATTCTAGAAAAACAAACATAGCAAAGTGAAATATGAAATGACGTAGCAACTTTTCTTCATTGTCGACAAATGAAAACATAATTGCAGTTATCATCTAACAGAGAATCTATCAATTGAGAAATAAAACTTATTCCTTGTTCCTTTACTGTTTATTAAAAAGTGTTTTTCGATAGAGACACTATATAACCACAACTGAATAACCTCAGATCTTTCATCAATTCAATCTAACTAAGATATCTTACATATAATAACAAAAATACCTCAAACTGGAACATTATTCTGATCAGAATATAGAACACGACGACAAACGAGCCAGCATAAAGGAACACAGACCGTGGAGTGTAACGGAAAAATTCGTGTTGCATCGCATTGGCCGAATACCAACGAAAAACAGCTGGGTCAATTATCACACCTTCCTGTAGTGCATGAATTAGGAAAAAAGAAATTGGAAAATGAAGAAGCTTCGACTAATATAAAAAAAAAAAATTTCTCGACGAATTCAATCTGATTCCAAAAAGAAAACTTATGACGTTTAGCTTATCAGCCATTTTCGTCATCAACGTGAGATACCTCGACACAAGATGTGTGAGCAACTTCAACTAAATCACAGAAACGAATTACTCTATACTTGAAGGTATGTGGGTCGTATTCTCGTCTAAGATACTCTTTCTTCAAAATTTCTTTTAATCGATATCGCCATAAGACAGCCTAAAATTTATAAAAATTGTAAAAAGAATGAAAAAAAAAACATCAAAAAAAGAATACTAACAAACCAGAATTTTGGAGTTTGAAAACTGGAAAATATGAACAGTAAAAAAATGAACGTTTTTATTGCAAATATACAGTGTAATATAAAGGCATAAAGTTGCGAGAAATAAGAAAAACCTGTGATTTCCAACTTCATAATTTAAAAGAACACCGCTAAGAAAAAGTTATATTTTTTTCTAAGCTTGAAAGAAGTCTTAACAATTGAAAGTAACCTTCTTTTCTTCATCGTTAATGCCATAATCTTCTCCAGCGACGAACTTCATTTTTCCATGAGTTTCAAAATATCCTAGTACTGGATCTTGCCAAAGTTTTGTATTTGTTGGCATTTTGCGCCTTATCAGCGAGAATAACATTCCTATTTTTCATACACCTTTCACCTAGCATATTAACACATATTAATACTTACTAACAGAGTGATAATTATTACAAAAATATTAAGAGATTAATTCCCTTATCATTTCACATTTTTATCCAATTTAACCTTACTATTTTCCTCAGAAATGAAATCAAACATTTCCCTATAAAAACTATTGTTTAAAACATTTACGATTTTGATAAGATTTTCTGGTTGACTTTCTTGAGTTTTGAGAGCTTCAACGACTTAAAATGATTCTCCATCCTCCCACAAATGTATTAGAAAATCTGCACAAATCAACTGATAACTACCAGAAAACAAACAAACGTAACTTATCACGTGCTCCACTCAAGTCACGACCGCAATATGACGTGAGGCGGTGTGAAAATTTGCTCATCCCAATCGTTCATTGGAATAGTTTTAGTTTTGACATTAATCGTACGTAACGATGCTAAGAAGTGGTATCATGGTGGAGTGAAATTTGAAAGTTTAAGAGATTACGAGGATAGAAAGAGTGTATTTTCTGCTTAAATAATAATGGAATGAAAAAGAAGGATTAGTAATAGCATGAAAATATCTCTTTGTAAATAAAAGTATTTTTTGTTTTAAAGAATTAAATTAATTTTGATCTTTTCTAAATTTATTATAGTTCCATGGGAAAATACTTTGTTAATGCCATTTGCTAGAGAAAATCAGATTTTTTTTTCTCATCTTTTTAATGAGTTTAGAAAAATTAATTATGCTATTTGTATTTTTATTTTTTAATGTGAATAAATTACAAAAGATTTTTCATTGATATGTAAATTTGATTAATTCATTTTATATATTTTTACAATATTTGTAAATAACTTAATTCGCAGTTGTCACATTAAATGGTATCATAATCAAATATCAATATTTATTTGTTTACATAATTTTTTATTCTTTCTTAATATAATTTTAAAAAAAATGAAATTCTTTTCTATAGAATGTAATACCTTGGACTATTTATTATTCATTAGCATTTTTGAGCAAATCATTTTAATAGTAAATGTAATAAATACATTTTAATAATAAATTAGTTAATTGCTTAATTAAACAGTTATTTATTAACTTTATCAAATTTTAAATTCATTCATTAATTGTGAAAATTTTTGATAGTTTTTGCTTTATAATTTATGAGTTATTCTGGCTTATTGATTATGCATTAACTATTTCGCCAATAATTGTATTTATATTTTTAAATTTAAATTTTCCCATTAAATATTACATTTGCTATTGCAAAAGTAAACATTTCATTGTAATTATAACCTATGTTTTCACTTAGCTTACAAGAATAACATAAAATTATTCTCTTAATTCTTATGCAAACACAAATGATTATGTCTAAACATCATTAGATTAACATTAGTTTGTTTATTTTATATGCTTTATTTCATTTTATTTCATTTCAATTTTCTCACTTAATGTTTGCAACTTTGAGCAATGGTAATCCAACAACAGATGAGACTATCACATCTGTTTGATGTTTTATTGAATTTTAAAATTTAACATGTCTCTTTTCTTCAGATGTTTTCATCTCATCTCCCTTTTCTTCAAATGATCAATAATTTGAATTTAATTTTGAGACGAAAAAAAAAGAAGGAAGAGAATTCAATACGAATATTTAAGTAACTGCATTAGCAATAAGTTAAAAAGCAATTAAATGTGTATAGTTTACACATTTAATTGCGAGCTTCTTTCTTATAATGTAGCAAATTTAAATCATAGTTTAAATTTGCTATCATATTGTTATTTAAATTAGCGACGAATTGATTATTCACTTTTTGAAATCAAAGTTTTATATTGGCATTTTGATACATTTAAAAAGTATTTATACCGTAATTTGAGTTTTTTTTTTTTTTCGCATTTTTTTAAACTAAAAATTGAAAATGTCTGGTGTTGCCATTCAATATAACTAAAGAGAGACATTAATGTGTGTTAGAGCATAAAAGACATCTGCAAAAATCTTTTGAAATTCCATTTTCAACAAAACTTTTTCATTTAAAAGCTTTTTAGAATATTTATTTTTTTTTTCTTCTTTTGCTTACACATTTTTATATTATTGTGTTGATACTTTACTCTTCATTTGCATATTTTTTTGTTTTCACACTCTTTCGTTTCATCAATTTAAATTTTGAATTTTGATGATCACATGAGCTGGTAGGGGAGAATATCAAAGTATTCAAATTTGTATTCATTAAAATGGATGACAAAAGGAATTATATTGTTTTGAATGAGTGTTATTATTCTATGTTTATTATCAAAATTACTATCATTGTCATCTTTAATTGTCACATTCATTAAAATGGATGACAAAAAGGATTATGGAAAATGTGACTGCAGCACACTTCATGGCATATTTTCAATCTAGATTCTAAATTAAATTCTAGTTCATGATCTATTCACTATTCAATTGTGCTTCTTGATCTATTCATATCGGTTTTATCTGCAAATACATTATCATTTTCATTACATTATATCAATTGCTTTTATCATTAATTAATATCAACAAGTTTTTCTATATCTTATAGCTATTTTGCATTTTTCTTTTTTTTTTTTTTTCTGTGCATCGTTTTCAATTCATTATCTTTTAATATAGTTGATAAGATCAATCAATTTGATAATCTTAACAGTGAGAACTAAATACAATAGAAATACTATGCCTTGCATAAGTTTCTTCTTATTTTGTATCTTAAAATTTAAAAATAGAATATAAAATTTTTTATTTTCAATTTCTGCAATAATATTGCTGAAATTGAAGCTTTTCCAAACATTCTACATTTTAACTTTTCTTATCGTTAATCTTTGCAATATTAATTCCTCAAAGAGATCTTCTAATTTTACTAGAAACTTTAGTCACGTACGTGGCCTATTTTGTTATATTATATCCGTTACAAATAGACAATACTAATAGATGCATTTTTTTTTATTCCGTTATCATTTTATCAATTCTAATCAGTCATTTAATC